TAGTTAAACAGCACAAAAGATCTAGATGTTCCACTACTATAGCTATGAGTAAGGCACTGGTAGAAATGGCTCATAGCTAAGGCTGCAGTTTCTTCAGATGGTTACAAACAGCAGGTTGCGATAACTCTGTACTCAGGAACTCAAATGTGGAATCCTTGAAACATTATTATAATCCCGTGATGAAATTACAGTATTGTAATGATTTTCAGCATGCATATGTTAATAAAAAGCTAGATTAATAAAAGCCAACACAACTTTAAAAAATCCAGGTTACATACGTAGAATGTCAATTCCTGTTTTGAACATTAGAATAGGCAACTGGATAGAAAAGTTGTATTTGGTAACATATATTTATTATAAAAGGCAGCATAGCTATATACACGTTCTCCCATTCCTTTCAAATTTTATATTGTCATCTTCCACTGGACAATCTTCAAGGAGCATCATCTACTGCTTCCAAGGTCCATATAATCACATTCAGAGTTCACCTAAGTAGATATTCATGTCTCTATATAAGTGGTGATAATAAGAGACTTCTCCTCTTCTCCAGCCATCCTAGGCAATGGCAGCATGGAGGTTGGTCTGAGTGTAGGTGTTAGAGAGGTGAACTTGTACTTCCCAAATCTGTCTTGGCTTTTTTACTGAGTGGAGCAGAATCATCATCATCTTCTGGAGTTTGAGGTTTCCTCATTGTATACACCACCCCAGAGGCAGTCTTCCTGGCTTCTAAAATTAAAGAAGAATGTTCCACAATGTATGATGAGGGAAAAGTATGATGGGATATGTGATGTAAAAATCTGGTCTACTACAGACAATCTCGCCAATGCAACCACGGAGTTGAATTACCTGTTGCAATATTATGGGGCCAAACGGGATTCTTATGTAGGTGAAAAGAAAGGTGAGCATCACATGCAATTGTGTGGTATCAAGCCATAACGAATCCAGTTTGATAGTTCTCTTCCCCATATAAGCTAGTCCTAAAATAGAAACTGAGGACCAGGGTAGATTATCTTACCCTATCTGTGCAGGTTGCCACAGAAACTAGCTTGGTACAAATCACTCCACTCTCTTCTTGGTTATCTACACTTAGAGGGTGAAGGACCATAGTTAATCCAAGAGGATGCTTACAAATCAAATGCCTGTTCAGAACATTAGCAGAGGACAACCTTTTTCAACCTGGAACCCTCCAAATGAATATAGATACAAGTTTATTGCAATCAAAAACCATAGAAAACAAAGAAGCCACAATGGAATAAAATAATATTTGAAAACTAACAGTATAAAACTTACCTTAAAAAGAAAAACTATGTAAAATAATATTATATATCTAGCACCAGCTGTTTGCATCTGCTGCTGTATAAAACTTGGTGACATTATGTGTGACAGAAATTACCTTCTCTGAAGGAAGAAAGATGATCACCTGTCATTTAGATCCATGCCCTCCTGTTCAGTTAAGGCTGCCTGGGAAGTGAGGTGTGGTTTGGTTCACAGAGTGGTGAAGGCATTGTTGGGCGAGGGGTTGCTTCTGCCTACCTTGAAGGTGATGGAACATTCCTTCCTCAAGAAGCCAGTGCTGGACCCAATGTTCCTTCCTTTTTAGAGAAGGTGGTTGATAGGAAGATTGGGTGGCTGCTTCAGGGGGCCCTGGAGGAAGCAGATTATCTGGACCCTTGGATGTATTAGTTAACTTTCAGGAAAGCACACTTGAGAAGTCTTATTTTAAGTCTCCAATCAATTGTTCCATAATTGTTTGCTGCAAACTATGTTTTCCCCTCCAGTAATTATAGGCACACAGCTACTGGAGGTGAGGCGTAGAACTAGTAAACGGAATGCTTATCACCACCTCTTTGCATTATATATTTGTCAATACTGGAAACACACTGACCATACAATACAAAGTTCATCAATATTTGGACTCACCTCCATGAAGAATGACGGCTCGGCCGTTAGTCGAAACAGCTGCCTTGGCATTGCTTTCTGAGAGGCCAAACAACCAACCTCTGCCAGTTTTATTAAGGATCTTCATGTGTCAAAAGATAAACATGCTTTTCATCAATGAACAACAGCAAATGCAATTCAGGGGAAACAGGACTTGAGGTGGGAACTGAGTTTATACACACACACTTTTTTATATGCCTATGAACCTGGGCTGGACGGTGAAGGTAGGAGACAAAGTGAGATCAGAAAACCTGGCCAACAGAATGACTCATCTGATTAGGTCCTTCTCTGGCCACAAACATTCAACATTAAATATATCTGACGTCTGGCAGCCAGGTACCAGATTTTTCTTCCCTGATTCCTTTTCATGTCTAAACTGAGTCAGTATTTATGGACTTATGGTCAAACCTCTCCCAGTTCTACTATTCAAACCACTGCAGATTCTGCTTTTTCTAGCCTGTTTTGCTGACTTATGAGTAACACCGTGGTCTAGTATCTGGCTGGCAGTGTTTGTGTGTTGTTTTCTTTCCAAATCATCCTTTTACTCCTCTCACAGAAGAGATGCTATTTACTGGCATTCCGTGGCTGATGATCCTGAGGAAGAAGTTAGCCTATTTAAGCATCGGAGCATATTTAAGAGTTCAGGGTCTTACAAATTCATTTTAAAAGGATACAAATTAGCCACATCATATGGACTTCGCAGCTGGAGAGGCTACAGCAGGAGGGGGGGAAAAAAAGAAAAGAAATAAATACAGATGCAGATCATAAATTATAATTGCATATTTGAGAGTTAAAACACTGCACTCTGAGAGTCAATACTTGGACTATGGGAGGGCAGCTTTCTTCCCCCAAACATCAAACAGTTCATTAATTTTTATGGAGACAAGCTGCATGACATAATTATCACTTAAATGGTCAAGATTTTATGTAACAACATCAGCTTTCTCCCAGACAAAGAAATATTCAATTTTTGCCAAAGGATGCATAATGTTCTGCTATGATTCCAAGGCCATGGACAGTGAAGTACCACACGCGCAGGCTCGGCTTTTCCCCATCACTGCCTACTCAGGAACAATGGCTCTCCTCTTTCCTCCAACTCAAGCACAGGCACCTGCTCCCTCCTCTTTTTCTTGTGCATCTTGTGGACCCTTTACGATCCTTTAAAAGCAAATATTTTGCCAGTCTTCACTAATGCCATCCTAGGTGTCAAAGAGCATTAGCCACTGGAGAAGGAAGGCACAAGGAGATGCTCACCTTTCTCCCATTCACCTTTTCACATTCACGCTCTTCCCATCAAGCAGTGGCATTTGTGGGCGGTGTGTGCGTGCGTGTATGTGTGTCACAAGGTCAAAATGGTGGTCACGACAGCACGATCGAATGCCTGTGCATCAAATGCATGTACAAAAGAGGCAGGCCTTTTGATGTGCTGCCATGACCGCAGTCTTGAATTTTTTGACACCCCTG